AATCAGGTAGGACAGAATTTCCATCTCATCTCGGATTTGAATTGAAGCCGTTCTTCGAAGGGAAAAGTTAATCTGTGCTGCTGCAAAAGAGCTCGAGTTCAACTGCCTGTCGCTGAGCTGTACTACACACGGATACAGCGAACGTGTGGGCGAGACCGCTGCTGTAATTCATTCAGATGTTCATCGGTTGCTACAAGCTGGTGAACGTCCGGATGTAAACATTGACGACGACGACGCTCAAGTTGCCGTTGGTGTGATACGAAGATTGTGCAAGAGCCATACGAAGAGTAAAATAGGTTACAGTAGAGAATGCTCCGAAACCCGTGTGTAGTATTTAGTATATTGTACATTCATTTGGAGACTCGTTTGAATTATGAGGTCGTCCTAGACGAGGATATTCCACACACGTACACCCTCTTCGTCTTTGCCCATCATATCTAGAAGCCTCGGACGCCCGGATCCAGAGCGCATACTGAATATTGCCGATGACCCAGCGAACGTTTCACCTGATCCATTCATTGAGTTGTCAGTTTAACCTTGAAAGCAGAAGAAATACATCGAGTACGTACCGTTTTCCTTCCCAGAGCGGTTGCAAACCACGACGATAGTCTCGTGCGGTGCCTTGTCTTCTTCCTCCTCCTCCTCCTCTTCCTCGACAGCTTCTACCACGCCTTGTTCTTCTCCTTTGGGCTTGTCACTCCCTCTGTCCGACACATTCGAACTGTTGGACATTATGGTCTCATTGCTTCCTCGCCGCCGCAAGTCGCGTCTCCAAAGTGGCTCTAGCCTTGCTGTCCAGTATCGCAAGGTGTACCAATCCGGTTCATCTTCATCAGGATCAATCGTCCCTTCATCCTCTTCCGCCACTCTACCCAGCTCTTTCTCCTCGTCCATCGCATCGTTGCCTTCCGTTTTGGCTTCGTCAAGTTCTTCCGTGTCTGACCCGCCACCACCAGCAGAGACTGTTGTGGTCTCCCCGTTCTCGTTAAGGTTGGAGAAGAGCCACGCATTGAGCATGACGAGTAATCTCGACCGGTTCTCGATGCAATGTTCAGCGATCTCAAACGGGCCATCAACGCTCTTCCAATTGTTTGGAGGTTGCGGGTTGAGGTCCATGCATATTCCAATGGTCATATTGAGCGGAGGCCGAGCAGCTTCGATGCTGTCGAGAGGAGTAGGAGAGAGGGGTAAAGAAAACGATTTAAAGCCGGTCCCTAGTGTTGACGTGTTCGTGAATACACACACTGTACGTTTAAAGTGCATGCACGCACCTGCTTTGGCCCAAGTTTCATCGGTCTTGAACAGATTTGTCTTTCGGTATCCTCCAATCCATTCACCCTCAGGACTGTATATAATCGCACTATTCGCTCCCACCACGTTGCGATGTTTAATCTGAGGTATAACCGCAGAAATTGAGGCAGATGGGAGGTGTTCCGAGATGTTGTCAGATGGTGGAATCTCCATGCCTTCTACAGGCAATGCATCCTTTGGGACAACACTGATTTGAGCTTCGGAGGTCTTGGGTTGTGCCAGTCTCTCTTCGTCAGAAAGGCGTTCGGGGTATCCTCCAGCAACGTAGCATCCTAAGTACTTCGCAACTTCTTGGCAGAAGAGAGAGCTAGGGCCAGTTCTTGGTTCCTCGAGGTATGGAAAGATGGCTGCCGCAGAATCAAAGACATATCCTGGGGCGATGTGAGACTTGAATCAACGAGAACGAACAATAGGTGACGATGATGTACCTCACCAGTAAAAGCCATTTCAGGAAAACAAAGGAGATCTATCGTGTGTGGTTGAAGCCTGCATTCGCGTTAGAACTGTGCGAACTTCCTGGAAGGGCAGGCCCCCAGGAGTCTCACTTGAAGCAGAGTTCACGAGCTCTTTCTATATTGGTTTTGACCTGCCCAATCTATGATACAGTCAGTCAATACGCCAGACGCGAAGTTCGATATGACCAAAACCTTAGGGCGAAGTTGGACAACTGCAATTCGGAGAGGTATGCGCCCCGGCTGGGGTTGTGTGGCAACTGGAGGTATTGGGACAGTCATGTTCCTCCAGAGTCGATGAAGTAATGAAGTCTTTCTGAGCGTCGTTTTGTCAACGGATTTGGTTGGTGATGGATGGACAAGATCAAAGTTTCGTCATTGCGAAATTGATCCAACACGACTCTGATCACTCTCACATTTCTATGCGCGTTGTGTTCACAAGCCTTGTTCGATTCGTTCCATAAGTATTAGAATTATCGCCCAAATCTTTTGTCAGGCATGGAGTTACTTGTGACTGGTCAATCAAACATGCCTGAGACCCTGACACACGTTTCAACGGGCTGTCGAAGGTTTGTGTGTCCTCCCTAGCCTCTGCCTCACGATATCCAAGCTGATTTCTCATGTTCAAGTGTATATTCTGTCCCTGAGAACTGTTCTAATATTATTCCAAATGCCTCAATAGAGCGCAAAAGCATCTGTACATCTACAACCTTTGCCTACTAGTAGAGCCAAGATGCGACGACCCTTTTGAATCTCTTGCACTCGTTAATTACAAGTTGTTATTATGCAGAACTGGACTGGAACCTTTTCTATGATAAGCGACAAGTATATTATTTCTTTCTAGCCTTGTGTGGGTCCTTTAGGACACGCGTCTGAAGGCTGCTCGTTGACTCGATGCTTTACATGTCACAACAGGACTCCATTCACTTCCAGATCTGTATATACTTATAAAAAGTGGCATCAAGTATTCAGCAACTTGTTCCCCAGATCCTTACGTCCAATCCTCACACAATGGCAAGCAAAGATATTCTCGACTCCCTTGCCGAAGCTGTTACCAATAAGCCTCCCTTCTGTACCGGAACCGTACCCACGACGAGTAGCGAATGTATTCTCTTCTACAAGAAGGGTTTGACAGCCAGGTAAGGCGCTTTGTCTGGGCGTTGGGCAACTAACAATTTCCTTCAAAGCTGGCTCAACTTGAGTGATGCTGCAGAGCATGAGCTCGAAGCTCTTGCCCATGCATGTATGCCTGCAACATTTGGGCGAAATAATGAAGACGTTTTGGATGAGTCGTATCGCAAAGCCGGGAAACTGGACATCGACGACTTCTCAACAAAGCTCAGCATTGAATGCATCGGCCTCACCAACCGCATTTGTGCACAGCTGTTGGACTGTGCCGACGATGATAAAACGATCAAAGCTGAGATGTATAAACTCAATGTGTATGGTAAGCATCACTTTATGATATCCTTTGGAGTGTTAGTATCGAACGTGGATAGGGAAAGGCTCGTTCTTCAAATCACACAAAGATACGCCACGTGGTGACCGCATGTTTGGCTCACTGGTCGTCGTGTTCCCAACCCCTCACGAGGGCGGTGCCCTCGTGCTTCGCCACTTTGGCCAGGAGTGGACTTTCGACTCGGCAACTCTCACGCGCAGACAGGACAAGCCTTGCATCGCGTACATTGCCTTCTACAGTGATGTAGATCATGAAGTCACCGTTGTTGAGTCCGGTTACCGAGTGACCCTCACATACAACTTATTCTTCGAAAGCAAGGCTGCTGCATCACAAGTATCTCCCTCTGTCACTCCTGTGGCCCCTGACGATTACCTCCTCCATGACTCACTGTCTACTGCCCTTGATAATCCCATGTTCCTTCCTCAAGGTGGATATCTCGGCTTCGGGCTAAGTTTCCAATACCCTGTTGAGTCGTCTATGTCGGAAATCCAACTCTCGGCCCTCGAAAAATCTTTAAAGGGTTCCGATGGGGTCATATACCGCGTTTGCAAGCAGCTCTCCCTCAAGACCTCATTGAACGCCGTCTACGATACAGATGACGAAGGCAAGGTCCTAGTGGACATCTACAAGATGCCGGACTTGGATTATGAAGATGACTGCATCGTTGAAACTCTGTTTAAATGCAAAGGGCGGGTTATCCACGAGTTTGGGCAGACCAAGCGCAATGGATACTCAGATCATGGTTCCGACCGTACCGTCAGTATGGCATGGGTCACACCTCTGACGACATACTCGAATTTTGGGACGGACTTCGTCACATATGGCAACGCGCCTTCCGCTGATTGCATCTATGCGGACCTCTGTATCGCCGTCAAGGTGGGGCCGATTGGGAATCGTGCGACAATCCAAGACGGCCCGGACGATGACGATGAAGAGGATGACGACGAAGAGGATGACGATGAAGAGGAGGAGGAGGAGGAGGAGGAGGAGGAATAGATGGCCGGTGCAAACATTCTGGAGACAGATACAGAAGTTGGTGGAGGAGAGAGATAGTCCAGTCTACCCTTGCAGTGGGTTCCTAAAAGCGAAGGTGTCCAAATACTGCGTCCATTTCTTCACACCCTTGTTTTTATATAATGCGACATTGCAGCCACGAAAAGTTGTCCATTGGCACTTGCATCTTCTGGAGGTTCCATCAATCGAGGACCTCAAGTCAAAATACGCCAATGCAATTCGACAGCCATTCTACGTGAAGACCTAGAACCAACTAGTATCCTTTTCTTCCAGAACGGGAACGTGGTGCACAGCGCGTCGATATCCCCCATCCTCCGTACTAATAATGCAATCAGGTGCGGCGCAACGCCTATCATTACGACCGCTCCTTATAAATATCACCTGTACTGACATGGATGCTGCAGTATGGGGTTATTGGCATACCAGCTTTTTTCATCTTCAAAGTCCACTCTCTGGGATATTCTCCCGGACTGTGATAAGGGATAGCTTCCGACTCTATGAACACTGCTCTCAGGGTAACCTATTTCAGGGTCGCTGGTTTACACACCAATCTCTACGTCTAAACACTTGGCCTCCCTTCTATACTGTTACACCACACGCAACAACGCCTTTTCTGAAGCATAAACGCCACAACACCCTCAATCAAACCATGGCATGCTATCCGACGTTACCAAAATTGTTCCAGCGCCACCCTCGGACGATCAAACCACCAGTCACCTAGGAAGCGCCACACCATCCACACACTCATCTGATAGAGGTGTAAATCGGGTATGGTGTAACGGCTAACATTGCCGCCTCTCATCGCATCGCAAGCAGGGGGGTTTCGCGGCAGCTCGGGGTTCGATTCCCCGTACCCGAATAAGTAATAACAGTTATGTGATTCATTTTGGGTGCGTACTCCTTCCACACAATTCTTTGCATAATTCCTTCTTCTTTTTTTTGCCCAGGGCGTCCTTAACAGTCTTCCCCCATCGTCTGACCGACGCGGAACTGTAACGCTATACTAAATATATAAAAACTCATCTCTGGCCAATAACCACAAACGGCGCCTGCCACCCTGCGACCTCAATGTTCAACCCGCTACAGGGGGTAAGCACGCACCGTCGCACGAGCAACGGACAGATGGGGCACAATCTCGGACGGCGGACTGTAACATAATATTAATACACTGCCGCCCCCGCCCCATTGCCGGGGGGTTCAGGCTCCCCCTCCGCGAAATGAAGCCTTGGTCGGATTTGCTTCCCCGCCCCCTCAATTGTTCTTTTTTCTACGCCAGTACCCATATCAGTTTAACCAAGGAATCTCTTCCAACAATCGGGTATGGTGTAACGGCTAACATTGCCGCCTCTCACGCGGCAGCTCGGGGTTCGATTCCCCGTACCCGAATGCTCGCTATTTAAATTTTTTCTTCGCGTCGCGAATATATATATCGACATACATACCGGACGCAAGTTCTATTTTACACTCCTACCCCCCTCTTCCCCCTTCTGTCCACTCCCCACCTTCTTCTGATGTCAAAGGACAAGGCGATGGAGATGGAGCGAGGGGAACACGGCCGCTTTGCGGCGTCCATGGATGTATTATATGGGTGATAAATCGATGACATTGGATGGGACAGATCGTTGAGTTGTGCACACGCATATGTATGAGATGGAGATGGAGATGAAGGTGAAAAAAAAAAAAAAAGAAAGCCCAACGTAACCATGAAGGAGAAGCAAACCGATAATATCTATCTATGCACCGAGAGACGAGGACGAAAGAGCATAAAAGCGGAGAGAAAACCATACGCCGAGAAAACAACCACGCAACACCAACCCCGCCTCACGTCGGCTTATAATAAATCGTCGTCAAATACTTCTTCCTATAGCGCGTCGTGTTCCCCACCGCAAGGACGCCGTTCCGGATGGCGCTCGTGCTGAGGTGGTGCAGGACGACGTGCGAGGGCACAGGGAGGACGCTCGCGTCGTCCGTCAAAGCAGTGGTGTTGGCCTCCGGGTCGATGGAGAGCGTGAGGGGGCGCGTGGGCGTGGAGGACGGGACGAAGGACGCGGGCATGGGGGACGAGGGGAAGAACGACGGCGAGAGCGTGTGCATGTGCATGTGCATTTGGGGGTACGTCGGGCTGCTCGCCGTGCCCGCGCCGGGCTCGGCGGTGCTCATCGCGAGGTTGGGCGTCCCGGGCACCGGCGTCCCCACCGCGGGCGACGTCGGCGGGGTCGGGGTGGGCGCGGTGGAAGGCTCGGTGTCGGGCTCCGCAGTGCCTGCCTCGCTGGGCGGGGGCGGAGGCGGGGGGTTCCGCCGCTCCCTGCCCTCCCTGCCTTCCCTCTCTCTGTCTCTGCCTTCCCTTCCCTCCCTGTCCCGCCTCCGATCGTCTCTCCACCCCTCTCTCTCCCTCTCGCGTTCCCTCCGCTGCTCCCGCTCCCTCTCCCGCCCTTTGCTGCGCCCCGCAACACTATTGCTCGCTCCCTCCCCTGCGCCGGAACCGCTCCCATTCGCACTCCCATTGCTCCCGCCGGCCTTCCTCCCCCCGGGGCCGACCACCGCCCCGCCGGGCCCGACAACCACGGGCCGCGCATTGAGAATGAGCTTGTCAAGGTGGCGCGGGAGCCCGGGGGCGGGGGGGATGTTGGGTGCGGGGACGAAGCCCGAGACGACCCTGTGGCGGTGGGACGAGTGGGACGGGGAGTGGGGGTGCCCCTCGGACGCGGCGAGGTACAACTCTTCCTCGTGGGCGGCCTCAATGAGCTCGGGCGGGAGGATGGAGGTCCAGTTCGCTTCCTGGCGGTGGTGGTGGGTTTTGCTGCCGGTGGCGGTGGTGGTGGCGGCGGTGGGGGGATTGGAGTGAGGATCGTCGTCCTCGGTAGACGAGGTGGCGCTCCAGAAGCTCTGGCCTATACCGCGGGGTCGTGTTGCGGAGGGGGAGGCAGAGGCGGGGATGTTGGATGTGGCGGGGGGCGAGTAGGTGATGGGGACGGCGACGTAGTTTGCGAGGGAGCCCTGGTCATCGACGGCAGTGGGGAGGTCGTCCGCGACGCGCCATGTGTCGTCGATGAGGAAGCGGATGTGGTGTGTGCCCGGCGGGAGGGGTACTGTGGCGTAGTATTCGGACGGTGTGGCTGCACTGCACGACATGGTCAGCACGGATCAGGCGCAAAAGAAAACACGGACTCCTGGCTCATGACCAGCCGGCCCTTCCAGTCGTCATCGCCTGCGCGGGCAAGCAGGACGGACTTGCCGCCGCCGCGCCATGTGATCTTGACGGGGACGAGCTCAGGCGGGCCCTCGCGACGGGCCTGGGCCTTGGTGAGGGCGATGGGGATGGTGGAGAGGACGGTTTCTGGGACGAACTGGTCGAGGAGCATGGGCGGGTGTGCGTCGATGGGCGCCTGCGACTGGTCGTACATCTCCTGCATCCGCCGGGTCCGGCTCCTGTGCGCGCGCTCGTGTTCGCGCTCGCGATCTCCTCGATCTCGCTCCCGCTCCCTCCCCTCGCGCCGCCCATGCACATGCCCCCGGCCCTCACCCACCAGATCCTGCTCGCTCCCGCTCCCGCCCTCGCCCTCCCCGTCCGTCTCGCGCGCCCGGTTCCGCGCCCGCCCCTGCTCGCCGGGCACAGCGCTCTCCACGACCAGTGCCTGCGGGATCGGGATGCTCGCGCTCTTCGCGGGCGCCTGCACGCGCCCGCGGGTGCTTGTGAGCGTCAGCGAGGCGAGATCGGGCAGCTCGAGGCTTCGCTTCTTCGTGCGCAGGGACGGATGGGGGTTGCCGGGCGTCGGCGCGGGGGAGGTGCTGCTTTGCCGTGGCCGTGGCGAGAGGGAGGTGGGGGCCCGGGCGGGCGACGAGGTGGACGAGGCGTTCCCCATGGTGGTGGTGGTCGAAGAAGAAGAACTTGCAACGGCTGGGCGCAGGGGTTGCAGGCACGTGTTGGTGATGTCATCAGCAGGCGAAAAAAAACATATTCGGGTACGGGGAATCGAACCCCGAGCTGCCGCGTGAGAGGCGGCAATGTTAGCCGTTACACCATACCCGACACGGTAGTGCTGGCCCACTGGGCTATTACAACAAGCCCTCCGCGTCTGCTGCCACGACCTGACGGCTGCGCCCTGGTCGCCCACTCACGACGAGGATGACCAGCCCGCCGTCCCCGCGGGCTCTGCCCTGGGCAGCCTCCAGCCCGCCCCCAGACTCCTTCGCAGAGGCCATCAAGGCCCTCGACACCTACAAGCAGCGCGATCCCTCCAAAGGTACGCCCCGTCGTCCCTCCCCATCCCGTCCTCTACTTAACACCCCACAGTCATCGTCCGCTTCAAAGCCGTCGGCAACGCCCCCATCATGAAGCAGAACTTCTACAAGATCACCTCCAGCAACCGCTTCCAGGCCGTCATCCAGTTCCTCCGGAAAGAGCTCGGATGGCAGGCCGGCGACCCCCTCGTGCGTGTCACCCGATCCTTGTGTATACCCTTCCTTCGCCTCATCTGCGCACAGTTCACCTACGTCAATCTCGCGTTCTCACCTGCGCCGGACGATACCGTGTCGAATCTCTTCAAGGTGCGCCGCCCTCTTCATCCATACCTTACATACGCTGATCTGATTTCGTTCAAACAGTCGTTCTCGACAGACGGACACCTCATCGTGAACTACAGGTACGCACGCGCGTGCCTCCCTTTGAATGAATGGATCCACTGACGGCTGAGGTAACTAGCACAACCGCCGCGTGGGGCTGACTTGCCTCGACACCCGCTACGACACGACTACGACTCCAGGCTGGGGAGCACACGCACACACACACAGATATATATACGAGCGACGAGCACAGAAGGCGAACGTGAACGAGCGGAGAGCAAGGCAAGGGAGGGAATGGAGAAGGAAGGAAAGAACCGGTACCGTATCCATTCATCCATCCATCCATCTGCAAGACCCCGCTCGACACGTCATATTTTATACCTCTTGTTAAGATACTACAGCACGTAATCAGAGTTTCTCAGTCTAGCCCAGCTGATTCAATGCCGTTAACATTGTTTAGATATACAGACAACTTTGGCTGGGTGGAGCGTAGTACAAGGGGACGGGCGTGTTATCGATCGAATCGACGTTCCGAATTTCAAACCTGCGGATTGCTTGGAGCCGATGCTACCCACAAAAATTTTGTCAAGCCTGCGTTGGGAAGTGTAAACACAACGATTCACAAGTTATCCTCGAGTCCAAGTAATAATGTTTGAGGCCTCCATTGGCCGACGCTCATAGCTCGAACCCCCACTATCATAGATATCTGGCGTTGTCGCCCCCTCTATCCTTGCTGGAAGCCTTTGGACTACGTCACCTATCATTGGCCTTTGTTCAGGATTCTCATCCCAACAACTTTCAATAAGTCGCCACAAGTCGTCATTGAGGCCAAGTTCAACGCATGGTGTGCCCCAGTCCTCACAATTCAACGGGCGGGATGGTCGCTTTCCGTCCATAACCTTCACCATAGCTGGATAATCGCTGAGCGCGCCGAATGGAATGGTTCCCGAAAAGATCTACATAACGAAGCATCATGATGAGATTCGCTCGGACTAAGGGCAACATCCTGTTAATACCTCATAACATACACATGCAAACGCATAGACGTCAGTCTGGGTATTCGTTGTTTCCTGAGCTCCGGTCAAGAGCTCTGGAGCCATCCAGCGCGGTGTACCGCCACTCAATCCAAGCGAGGACATCGAAAGCCTGAGCGCTTGTGACTCTGAGGCCGAAGATAGCCCAAAGTCTGCAAGCTGTGCCCGGCGTAAGTCAGAAATCAATATGTTGACCTAATGTGCAGTGTGAGGAGGAGAATAAGAGTAAGGTTAATGCAGTGGTTACCGCCTTGAGATCCCC